AGAGGTTGAGCTTGTGTTGAGCAAGTGATCAACACAGTGCGCGAAAGCGTTCACATTTAGCAACGTAGCTGCATGTGGGGCATTTTACTGGTCTTCTAAGTGGCCTTGCTCAAGCCTTGCGCGGACTGGTCAACCAAACATCTCTTGCCACTTGCGCTGATACAGACTGCCCTGAGGGCTGAGTGTCTCTTGCGTGAACTGCTTCTGAGGGTGCTCCCTCTTCCCACCAGATGGACGCATGCTTCTGCGCTTGCGACTAGAGCAGCAAACATCGAACGCCGCCATCGGTTGACAGGGTTTTAGGCTTACACTTACACTGTAAGGTGAAATTGCCCAAGCTGCCCCAGACATGAGATTAGACTCCCTAACCTTCTTTCATTGCAAGGTTTGAGGATCCAACCTTCAGCTGTCGTTCGGTCCCAAGACCAAAAACACGCTGTGCCCTCAATCCTAACCCTACAATCTTCACCCGAAAAGTCAAATGCCACATTGCCAAATCCCGAAGCCTGGGTATTATTGCTGGAGCCTCAGGCTTGCATAAAGGTCTGACTGTTGCCTCTGTCAGTCGGGTCTTTGATTGCAGTCGCGTCGGGGTCTAAATATTACGGCGAACAGGAGTTTGCTATATTGTAGTTTCTTTTCTTTTTTTGTATGGGTTGAAAAGAGACGCGTTTCCTGCTTGCTCAGGCTTCTACGGTATCCTTCGGAAACTGCTGCGTCGACAGCCTTGCTGTCATGACCAACAAACCAGAAAACACTAAGGTCTGGGCCACTAAGCTGACAACAGCTGTGTTCAGCCCCGATATCAACATGGCAAAGTCAACTGCACCCCTTGAGATTGAGTAAACTATTCGAATTGCAGCAGGCAAGGGTTTAGGCTTTACGGCTGGCATTGCTCTTAAGGGAGCAGCAATCTCAGTCAATACCCATGCCAGTAAAAAATGGCCAGGAATATCACCTAACCCAACATGGAATCATGCAGCCCCCTTTCAGGTCCCGTGTGTCGGTATGACACCCTGAGTCATATACTCACTCAACAACATCTCAAATTTCACAGTGCTTTGAAGCCATGGTGCAAAGGTGTTCTCAACGAAGGGCACATCGATCCAGTGACGATCCTGAACACACGACTTAATGCCCAGGTTTTGGGATGGGATGTTGAGACAGTGCAACAGATACTGAACCTCTAGACAAACTCTCTATGTAGCCTGGGGTGTTGCTGTTGCATGCCAGGATTTCCGCAAGCAAGCTCAGTGAATGGTTCATACATCGGGCATCCATTCAACCCCAGACCCTAAGCACCAAACCCTGAAGACCCTAAACCCTGACCCCTACATGCTAGATCCTCCACCCGAAGCCGTGCACGCAAGCCCTGAAGGCTCATGCTAAACTCGAGGCTGTTGCCCCGACTCGGCCTCTTCACGTCCGGTGCTGCCGACACGGTCACTGACATCCACCTTTACAGGCTGCGAAAAGTCTAGGGTGCTGGGCTGCACTATAGAGGGCCTGATTAAGGCTAAGGGCTTTTGGTTTGGGGTGTAGGGCTTTGGGGCTTAGTATTCCGCCTTTCTACTTGGAAGAGTTCAAGTAGCTTGAAGCGGAGGTTTGCAGAAATTCAAATTGCCCCCAGGTCGTTAATGGCATTGTTGTATGGAAACGGCAAGACTTCTGAGAGCTGCGGTATTCGCATCGCACGTCTGTATCCTTGACAGACAGGAAAGCGATTACATAAACGATTGCGTGCAACACAAGGACCCATTGACTTGTTGCCAATGAGATCTCGGAGAACTTCGTAGAACCCTTCCGAAACGGAATCCTACCCAATGTCACTGTAGAGCAGCCTTAACTCAAACTTAGAAAAAATGGGACGAGCCTGCAGCCCACGCCTGTTGGCAGGGTCCAGAGCAATGACGGTGACCTGGGACGCTATTTACCAGTAGGGGCCTTACCGGAGCTGTAAACACGGGGTTGTCCATGATTTTGAAAAACAACTCGCACGAGGGCAGCTCAATCTTCCCATGTCCAGGGTCAAGGGCCGTAATTGATTAGTAGTGCAACGTTATGTTCATGAACGAACGTGCATTTTAACTCTGCAACAACTGACCCCGAAACACCTACATCTCGAATCCGCAATTCAATGGAACCCAATATCCACCTTTCCCCAGCAATGACCAAATCACAAACCCTACATCCTGTACCTTCTTCCCCAGACCTTTTCCCCCATGAAGCCCAAGGTGAAATCTTTGTCCCAGTGGCACCCCCGGAGTCGATGTGGGAACCGTAGCCCATGACTTCACCCGACGAGGCCTGTAAAGGTTCAGGGTCTAGGGGCAAGGGGCTGAAGATTTGGATTAGATTTATGGTTCAGGGTTTCATGTCGTGGTTTAGGGTTGAAGGCATGGAGTTCGGGGTTCAGAGTTTAGACTTTGGGCAGCCGGGTTCCGGATTGAGGTTTTGACTTTGGGGCTCAGAATCCGTTTTGTGGGGCCGGGGGCTTCGGATTGATAGCTTTCTGTTAGGAATTTTGGGTCTTGTGGTCTGGAGCTCAGGGTAGGGTTACAGCGCAGAGAATATGACAAACATTAGTACGGCTAGTGCGCTAAGAAGGACACTGCTCGAGCAACAAAGCATAGGGCGATGTGCCAGGGCATGTAGCTTGGTCAAAGCTCCAGCACAAAACCAGTTGTTTCCGAAGTCCGGCTATTTTTGCCGTCTAGCAGGCAAGCTGCTTGCTCGGACTCAAAGGGCTAGGATTCATGATCGGGGCTAAGGCGAAGGGAGTCACGTGGTGCTAAGGTCAGCGGATTGGAGGCTGAAGCTGTGAAGCTTACGTGCCAAGATCGTGATGTTGGAGGCTTGGGGGACGAAAGAGGCTCCGCAGAGTGGATGTTCATCTTCCAACCTTTTAACAGAGCCAATTGAAGGGCCAGCTGAAGTTGCCAAAGGGTGATCAAACCTTAAACTGATTTTGCGGCTGAACCTGTTGGAAATGGAGTTTGTTCTCTGTGGCTTCTTGATCCTTGAGGCTTTGGACCCGCTGAGTGCTTTATGTGGTGCAAAAACTAAGGTGTGGCGAAGGTTGTGATAGCCAATCGCGGGCTGTCTGTGCAAAGCCTAGAAATCAATAAAATTGGCCCCAAAAAAGGTTCGAAAATGGATCCTGAAATAGGATCAAAAAATACAACTGAAATAGCACCGCAAAAACAAGATAGGAATAAAGCAGGGGTAGAAAGAACCATCATTGTCGTTGTCTACACCCTACTCCAGGTAGGGAGCAACATCCCCTTCGTAAAAGCTATGACGTCCTTAAAAAGTGGCCTTGACAAGTAATTTTTGGGGAAACCTGCAAATTGCCAAATCATTTGGGCGCTACTAGCTACCTTGTGACTCGTACTTGCTAAGCCTATATCTTGTGTACAAAGCCAAGAGAGCTTCAAAGCGCCAGGAACTGGCATCATTCTGACGCGAAATTCTGATGCAGGCTACCAGTGCTTCAGGAACTGGCGCCGTACCCAAGCTGCAAATCTCGCTCCTGATTTGTCGAATGCCTTGGAAACTGGCGCGATCCCCGTGCTAACTCCTAACACGCCCTATAAATAAGGCCCTGGACATGTGAAGGTTTGAGGGTTGAGGCGCGCCCTTTGCCGGAACCCATTATTTGGCCCCAAGCGTATTTTGATCGTATTTCGTTCTCCGCGGCTGCCGAAAGCTTATAGGAATTTCCAGAGAGCTCTAGGACAAACAGGAAAAATGTTAAAAAGGAAAGCATAATACATAATTAGGCAAAAAATCCTAACATAGGAAAGTTGGGAATAAAATAACCAAAAGTAAGACAGCAAAAACCAAATAGGAAGAAATATGCCGAAAATAGGAAACCGCTTGCAGTGGTGTCTCAATACGTTCGGGCTTCACAGGCTCCAGAACTACACCCAGCCCAACCAGAAAGCTTGCAAACAGCACCCCGCCGCCAAGCTCAGAGGAGCTAACCCTTCACGCGACTCTGCATCTGCAGCTAAAAAAAGCCGCAGCCATTGCTGGTCAAGCCTGACGCGCTTGAAATGCGCCGTCGATCTGGCGGCGCATTGTGCCACATTTCCGGATGCGAGCCCAGCCGCGGGCCGGTGGCGGAACAACACGAAACGCCGTGCTGCAGCTCCCATGAACTCTTAGGTCTTGGGAATCTTGGGCCTAAACGCAAAACCGTCGACTCTAAACTCGAAAGTCCCAAGCCCTGGCAGGCTGAAAACCTTTATTTCTAGACTCAGACTGCAGCACTCCAAGGGTGTGTCTCGGCTGAAGCTCTAACTCCGCCCACGACGGACCCCGAAACAACGGACCCAGAGAGAAGCTGAACCCCGCCCCTAAACTCCCTAAACCCCAAGAACGAAGCCATGCAAACCTAAACCCTGAAAGCTCCCAAAAGGACCCACCCCTAAACCAAGCTTCCACAGGCCTGGGAACGCACCTGCGGGTAATAGGCCAAGCGGAGACCTCCTCCAGAAGGAGTCATCACCAGGTCCACTTCCTTCACACTTTAGGGAGAAGGGGTTTCAGGGATCAGGGTTTGGGGTTTCGGGGTCTGAGGATTTAGGGTCTATTGATTAAGAATTTAGGGGTGAAGATTTCAGAGTTTAGGACCCAGAGACGAGCGCTTCTTGTAGGCAGAAGGATCTGAGCAGTGCAGGGAGGATAGGGGGGCCACTTACTGTATGGACCTTCCTTTTTCTTAGGGCTTGCAGCGGTTCGGGGCCTTAAGCCCCAAACCCATACACACTAAGCCACAAACACCTAAGCCTAAGCCCTCTTGCCTCTATCCCAAGCCCGAAGCCCTAAACCCCTACTCCTAATCGAGCCCCTAAATTCTTTAGCGTCAGTCCTATACCCCTGGCAAAACATGGGTTGCTGCCATGGGAACAACCTCAGTTGCAACGTTCTTAACCCTACATCCCAAACCCCCATCAATTTCCCACTATGGTAGCTAATATCCATTTTCCTGAACATCAAGAATGCTTGGCGGCCTCCTCAGTTGCACCCAGAGAGAGCTGGATGGCTTTAGTAGCCAACCTGAGTTTGATGTGGGAAATTTCAACAATTCGGGGGGCACCTTCTTGTGGGCTTTACAAGGAGCGAGGGTCTCCAAAGATCAGGGGGCCCAAGCTGTTTTGGGAGCCACGATTTGTGACCCCCGCCCTCAGGCATTTTCAATCAGTGGAGTCTCCTGTATGCTGTTAACCGACACTCAAACACTTCTCCGGATGTTGGGAAGCCATCGTCGGCTTGACTGATTACTGGCGCAGCGCTGCTTTCATGTTGGTGTTCCTCGCTGAGGTATTCGTTCTTCTCGACAAATCCTTCAGCCTAAGTTTTTTCTGTGACCAGAAATCCCAAGGAAGATTTGAATAATCCAGGGTAAACAGCCCCTAGGATGGTACCTGCCCTTGTGAGCGGAAAGCTTCCCTAACAGTAGGACCTACGCACACTTGAAGTCCCCATGATGCGAAGCCTGCAATTTCCAATCCTTTGATCTCCAAGTCGGACCCTGGAAACCTTAACCCTAGATCCAAACCCCTCAATCCGAACCCCAGAAATTAGTAAGTATCCCTACTACTGCTACTAGTACCATGACTATCGCCACAATTACCAGGCCTTGGAAGCCCAAAAACACAAAGCCCGTCTTGGGCCCTGGCTTTGCCACCTTCTCCGCAGCACGGAGGAACTCAGTAGCTGGCCTTTTTTTGGCTTATGCTTCGGGGGGTGAGGCCTAGGGCTGAGGGTTTACGATTCAAGGTCTGGGGCGTGGGGATTGGGCTGCAAGGACTTCATCTCCACTTTATGAAGGAAGTTCCTGCTTCAGGTCAGCCCGACTGCATAGTTTTCTTGGTCCGAGCAGAGCAGGGGTTAGGACGAGGCTTCTGACTAAGGGGCCTTCAAGGTTTAGGAGCATTTGGGGCTTTAGGCATTACGTCAAGGATGGGTAAATGTGTGAAACCTTGATAAGACGGATCACAGAATTGGATGGCACGCGAGGACCACACAACCGGCAAACCATAAGCGTATTTACCTAAGTGTCAGACAAACAGCGATACCTTGAACCACGGAACTCTGCCACCCAACCAAAACTCAACGTGTGCCAGCCTTGGGAATTTGAGCCCTTTCCGGGAATGACCTGCAGAGCTGGGGAGGATCTGCAAAAGCTGGAAACTTGGACGCCATCATGTAACGCTGCACAAAAAAGCGTCTCTGCCCCTTCCCTACAACTTGAATCCTTGACCAAATTCACTCAACCTGAATCACGAATCCTGCCACTAAATCATCTGTAAAAAGCTGCCCCTTCTCATCACCTCCCGAGGCAGACAAGGGAGGGCTAGCACACCACATGATCAAGTCGAGCTTTGCCAGGCTCCTGAATATTTCCTTGCTACCTCCTGGCTGAAACCCAAGGACGTACACCCGAACCAATAGTGGCGCCTTGCAACGATATCTGGGGTTCCCTCCTCCATCTCGCAACCGCTGAGATCCTCCAGGCTCTAACTGGGTTTTGGGACCCTGTAACATTGCTCAAGGAGTTGAAAATAAGTTTTGGTTCAGGCCTTCGGGTGATGCGACGGAGAGCTAGGGGCCCGTAAGAGAATTGGAACCAGTACCTACGCCCGATCTTGCCCCCTCATCTAGCTCTTATGGAGGAATACAGCACCATATCCCCCCTCCCTTACGCTCCCTAGATCACGGGTGCAGGTCCTCTTCTGAGATTCGGGCGAGGGCCTGAATAACAAGCAAGAATGGGGTTTCGGGGTACGATACATCATAACTTATAACAACGATATGAAAACTAACAACCTTCCCAGTTGTCCTGGCTTGTGCATGAATCATGTCTGAACACTGGAAGCATTCCGGATGCATGCGAAGGGCAAAGCCTCTTACGGGAGCTCTTGCAGGCCCCCCTACAGTTCTGCGGCAGAAATCTTGTCAGGCCCTGGAAGTCCATCCCGCTCGTTGAGCAGATGAAAGTCTAACAGGCATGGCCCGACTGTTCTGTCCACTTCCCAAATCAAGCACCTGAAAAGAGGCCCCATATTGATGCCTTTTTCAAAAATCACAAAAGTTCCATGTTAGTTCACGGAGGGGCCCTGTGTAACTTCTTGCAGGAAAGAGGTCACAGGCCTGCATACCAGGGCAAAACCGACAGCCCGGCCCATAGCTGTTGTTGTGAAGGGACTGTTGGTGCCCTTACGGTCCGTGTATGCTCATGAATGAAGCTGCCATCTCCTAGAATTAAGCCTCTGTGCTTATGGTACGCAAACCTCAAACTCCAAAGCAATCACACAGGCGCATCCCGCTTCTGACACATAAAGCAAGTAAACACCATGGCAACCATTCATAAACCCCAAGCGGGCAACCTCTTCGCTCAAGAGATTTCTACAAGCAAGACCTTCGTAGCCCCCAAGTCATGCCTACAAAATCCCTGCGAAGCACTCCCTCAGTGCGAACGCTAGCGTGTGCCCAAATCTCATCCTTGGCATGGCAGACGCCGCTGGACTCCGCGTCTTCCTTTCGGACTTTGGCCATCTGAACCGCCTTTGGCACGCAGCAGTTCAGGGCTTGTACGGCTATGGCTGCTACTGTATTCAGCAAAACATTGCAAAAGTTCCTGTCATCGGGGCTCTCCACTCCATCATTGCTGCTTCTTTTTGGACTGTCTTGCATGGCATCTCTTGGTGGCTCTACACTAGAACTGCCATCTGTCATATATGCGCATTGCTGAACCGTACAACCTACCCTCGTTTCTAAACCTTAATCTCTTAATGCAGGTGACACGCGGACTCCCCCGAGCTCTAAGGTAATCCGAAAGCTCACATCCAAAACTGTACCCTAAACTCTGCGCACATACGTTAACCATGCGAACCCCAGATGCTCATATTTCTGAAGCCCTACAATCTCTACATCCAAACCCAATCATGCGTCAACTTTTCCTGAGATCCACAAAGCGTACTGTAAGAAGATCCACTCCCCCCAAGAAAATTTACACCCTGCCATAAGCCCTTTTTCAAACTCCCAGGGCCTCGACTCCGCCTGCGAGGCCCGCTAAGCCGGCGGTCAAGGATTCCACGGCATCATTGGGCCTGCCGCAGCGAAATGACTCCCTGCATGACCACCCCAAAATAGCCATTGATCTCTATTCCTTCCGGGTTTCCAGCCGAGATGCATGAGGGATGATAAAGAGAGTGCAGCGACCCCTTTTGTATGAGGCTTATTGTGACACTTTTCCGATGTTCGAAGGCTCAGCGATCTAAGGATCAGGGCTTGGTGCCAGTGAGTGTTGCTAGGATTCAGGATTCAAGTGTTTAGGGTCTGAGGGGTTTCACTTGCGAGTAGAGGCGATGGGTTCAGGGTTTAGGGCTACATGCTTTTTTGATGATTCTAGTATGCCCGGTTTGCACAAAAAAAGCTTCGAATCAAGAGCTGATAACACTCAGTCTGATTCTTTGTGCAAAGGTCGTGAAAGTAGAGATGTAAATGGAGTCATTGCGATGCTCGATATCGGAGTGCCTCAACATAACGCCGTACAATCAAAACCCTTTGAATCCGCTGGATGTTCCCGTATATACCTGCTCCGCTTCTTTGCTTGGCCATGCAACGGATCAAAGTACACCCTACAGTAGTTGCCCCGACCATCCAGTCCTGGAGAAATCGCCCAGAAGCTGAGCTCCGTTCTCCTGCACAGGCGCGGGCCCTCAACAAAATACTCATCGTAGTGACAGTAGCAAGTAAGGTAAGGAGTACTTGTACAATGGTTTTAGGGTTATACAGATACTGCTCTTCATGAGTTTGAGGATTGGATTGACAGCCTAGGCATGAACATCTCTGCGGAGTAGACGGACACTCTGCCCCTATTGAAAGACTGGAGATTCGTGTTCAAGCTGGGGGGCTCTCCAAAAATGGTTCAGGCATGGCTTATGCAGATCTGGATCCTCTATGACCACGTAAACCTAAAACCGGAAAGCCCTGAATCTGAAGATCCTCGTGGGAGCTTTGGCTTCAAATCCTGAAGGCGCAGCTGCGCCGCCCTTGAGGATTAGTAAAAGGCTCTGCATGTGAGGGAAGCTGTAGGCTTCTTGAGACGATAGCTCCCTTTTACGCATCCTTATTTTTACGTATCCTTGGGTTCAAACGTGCAGGGGGTTTTGTTCAGGAATTCTGTTTGAGCACTCTCTAAATACTTGTGGAGCTCCTTCTAGTGTCGCTGGCTGCAGATATGGGCACCCTAATCTTGAGAAACTTCCCATGCACGCAGGCTCAAACGGCACTCACCCCGCAGACTCTCTTGAGATGTGCAGCTCTTGTAGCGGTACGTCCTATGCCCGTTTTGGGAGGGGACTCTCTGAAGCACCTAGCGAGCAAACATCCAAGCAGGCCCCAAGATCTGAATGCGGAATCCAGAAGCAATGCAAGGATAGGTAAGTTTTGAGCATTGTGGCCTGATTGGCCACATATCCGCCGAAGCCATATCCCTTGCCCTTGTCCTCAGTTGTTGTCTTGGGTGTAGGGTTGGGGGTTCATTTGGCAAGCTACTAGCATGTGGCTACGATCCTGAGGATTACTTGCAGTCAATCTAACGGCCGGTGGTGCTTTTTTCAGCTGTCAAGGCAAGCATCATCACAACTACTGCGGTGATGAAATCCCGATGTTCTCATTGCTCAGGATGGCACTATCAATGACACGATAACTACTCAGTCTTCTTGTCTGCGCCCGAAGAAAGAGCAAAGCCTTGGCCATAGAGAGAGAAAATCCTTGGCCATAGTTCTGCGCCCGCATACTGATCCTCACCTCCAAAACCCCATGCCCTGAACCCTGGGTTCTAAACCTGAAGCCCCAAACCTAGGCACACATCACAGCCATCTATCCTACAAGCCAGAAATCCTACGCCCCCTTCAGACCTGCAAGCGTCAAACTGCATCTTCTGTTCGGTTGGCTGTCGGAAGAATTCGTACCTAGTGGGTTTCAGGCTGCCGGCTTTGGGGTTTAGGGTTGGGGGAAAGCTGCTCGGGGTACCACCTGGAATTCGCGTTTAGGGAAAAGGCGCTAACCAGACCGTCCAACTTTTGGTTTGGGGGATGGTCCTGCAAGCATCCTAAACAATACCAAAAGCTAAGGGAAGCTGCGGCTGAAAGGTCCAGGTACACCCTCAACCCTGTATACCTTGAGTTTGAATCCTGAATCAGAATCATGGAATGCTCAAGCAGAAGCCCTGAACCCTAAACCAAGGTGCAGGGCTTAGCTATGGTTAGCAAGGGTGACGGGCTTGTTTGATAGGCTTGAACTGCACATATAATATCAACATTGGCCTCAAGCTGTAGCACTGGAGCAGACGAAGAAATGTACGCGGAGCTGGATGGGCACGGCGATCTTTGGAAAGGATCAGGCAAACGTCTTCGGGCTCACGGAAGCTTCATGGCAGTCAACATGTGTTCAGCGCAAGAAGTGCCCTAGTTGCCGAGACAAACATCCAAAATTGCCTCTCAGAGTGGGACTGCGGAAGCCACACAATCAAACATCTCCTCCCCGCTGAAACAGTCCCCCCGCTAGTTCCCTAAACCCCAAAATCCTAAACCCTGACGCCAGGAATATCAGGGATACAGGGTGCTTGATTTTCAGGGGAAGGGATCAAGAGTACCTACACAGCCACAGGTATATAGATTGACAAGCCCAAGCCCTGAACCCTCCTCCAAGCTCTGCCTACCTGATAAGAACAACACCTTGCCACAAGTGGTCTCCAGCCTCTGTAGAGGTGCCATTCACACAATCCCCAAGCTCACCCCAAGGTTTCTCAACATTCTGGGCTTGGGCGCCTTCTTCGGGGTCCTATGACAAGCATCCAGCTGTTTCGATGAATAAAAAGGGGGGCCGCTTCGTGAGAATCATTCCTTGACCCTGTGGTTGGCGCATACCCACTGTCCCCCAACTTAGAGGCGGTGTTTAGTGTGTGAGGTTGGCAAAGAAATCTGGATATCGTCACGACACTCACTATCGCAACCCGACAGCCCAAAGCTACAACAAAAACCCGAAGAACAGCAAAGATCCATGGCCCCTTTACTAACCCAAGGGCTTCCTCCACAAATTTCCTAAAGACTCCCCATAACATCCCTGCAGCTTATCCGGAGGCTTGGACCCGAAACTTCTCTGTCACTGTCCTGCGTCCTGTATACCTGAAAGGATCTTGCGGCCGATGTACGCGCTTGAGCGCACTGCATCCACGACATGCTTGGGCACACCGTGTCCGGTAATCACCTGGGTACGAGCTTATGCCTTTGTGAGATCTATAGGTTTCCACTGGCTTACATGCACGCCAAGTGACACTGCACAACTTAGAGGGAAAGCCGTAGCAACAACGGCAGGAAGGCAATGCACTTGCAGTGTCATGATGCATGCTCTTGGGATGTCACGAACTTACGGTTGTTATCTTTGTCCTGCGTTCTTACTACTGTATTCTTTTTGTTGCTCCTACTATACACAATCGCATTCTCAATAGTATTCTTGGAACTATCGGTATTAGCCGCAGGGTCCTACATCATTTTATGCCAGTCAAGGATTCCAACAATTCACAAGAAACACGTGTCAGAACAAACTACCTTGCCCCTAGCTTACATGGACCCCCAACGGGGCGTACATACGACTGCCCCTTGAGGAATGTCCTATTTGATGACGTAGGTTTCCTTGAAGTCTGGGTCGGGGTGCTCCGACATCCACACGGGGTCTTAAAGGAGGAGCCCCACAGGCCTGAATGCCACCAAAAACCTGCATGCCCTGAGTCTTCTAGGTCCTATAAGAACTGCAGCAGTTTAGCGTTCAAATGCACAACTCTAAATTCTCAACCCCAAACCCTCCACACCCAATCGGGAAATGGACCATCACTTGAACCACGGTGCTGCGAAGCCAGTCGACTCGAAAGCAGCCGACAACCTGGGATGAATGGATTTAAGTCAGAGTTTAGGCTTCAGGCTGTAGCGAACTTTAAGCTGCAGGTGCAGAATTTGGGATTCAGGGTCTGGGGATTCGAGTTTAGGATTTAGTTTCTAGCGACGTCCCAGTCGGAGCCTACTCTAGCCTGCTTACAGCCTCCACAACCCCTAGAAAGCCAGCATCACATGGTCGCTAAGAATGCCATGCAAAGTTTGCCACAGCAGGCTTCAAGACGCACAAAACCGCTCAGGTTCGCCTGATTTACACTTCAGAACCCCAAGTCCCTTAAAGCTGAAGCCCTGAATAACCCCAAGCCTAAATCCTAAACTCTAAAGCTTGAAATCTGACTCGACCCAGAATGTGTTATCCTCAGACCTGTGTTCCTACCGTTAAACGCCGAATATTCAGACCTAAGCCTCAAGTCCTGAGACCTTTGCCCCACATCCTTACCGTTACTCCGAACCCTTGGCACCTCAACCCCCTAAACCCTCAACGCACGTCTCCCAACTAAGCCTCAGTCCCTAAGCCCTGGTTCCAGTATCGTCCAGGAAACTCCTTCGCCGCCTTGAGCTGCTCTTCTGCGGTTCCATTTACCAAAGGAGCCTAGGATTTTGCAACGCATTTAAGAAGTAGGGTACCCGTAATGAGGGACAACTGATGTCTGCAGGGTTTACCTCGGTTATCTCGATGTTAGGGGATGAAGGTCCGAGAATCTATGGATCAGGATTTGAGGACCCTCTCTCTTTTGAGGGATCCGATGGGAGGGGCCATGAAGACTGCAGCACAGTCCATGTATGATCCCCAAGCAAGCACTACCAATGAGGTGGTTCAGCACAAAGCCTGACCTGTAGATTCATATGCACTCATCACCAATCCCCAAATCCAAGTCTGCGCGAGAGGACACGAGAGAAGACAATGGCAAAAAGGCAGCACATACCCGCTTTGTTTGAGCCAGAAATGCCAATGCTGCCATTTACCAAGGGCCACATCACAGGAGTTTTTTTTAGATTGGGGCCATACATAACTTCTGCATACTGCAGCGGAACCCCTGAACCTCAAAATTTGAGCCAGAAACCACGACTTCTGGATGCCTTCTAAACCTATGTGACTACATGTTACAAAAGCAATGGCTCTATGCATCTCCAAGGTGCCGCGTAGTCGAAATATCCAATGTTTAAGCCCTCAAAGGGATCGGCACATTATGACAGTCCCCCAATGGTGCTGGGGAACCACGTCCACGACTCTGATGTTCTTAGCCTGGTTCGGGTTCGGAAGTTGAGGGATTTGGTGTTGTTGCAAGCTAAAGGGACGCGGGAAGGCTTGAGGCATAGATATTAGGCCATCTAGGGTACAGGTGGCACCAGGCTGGTGAGACAAAATCTAAATCCATTCCTGTCAATTAAAGGATGACTCCATTGATGGAGTATTATGGATATGTAGTCTCATTTTCGCCTATAGCCAGTTGCTGCTTGAATGATTTAGGCCAACTGTGACAGAGACTGTCTTCAAGGTCTAGTTTCATAGGACGACACGTGTATTTTTGGACTTTTGCCAGTGGGATCCCAGCAGTGGAACCTGAGAAGGAATCCCTCGCATGTAGAAACCAACAAATTTTCCGGGGAACCCCAACGAATACTCCCCAAAGTTATGGTAAACTTCGTTCCTGTCTCTTTCAAGTGCTGGTCTGACGGCTCAGAGTTGACCTCACTGGGCTGGAGAATTGCTGGCCAAGTTCTGCAAATCGCAAAAACATCTCATTAGATGTGCTCCTAACGTATGTTGAAGCCTAACTTCCAAACAAGTGAATTGAAGGGCTACTCCGATAGATTTTCTGGAACAGAACTGCTGTGATTGAGCTCCAAGGTGTTGCCTTGTTAAGCCGTTCCGAATTTTTCTCTCCTGTTGGAGGTAACTACTGATGACTGGGCTTAAAACCCGATTTAGAATTCGGGTAACTTCTATGAGGCCGTTTAGCTGGATTAGAAATAGGGGTGTATAAGCCCGGTGCAAAGCCTAACTGTTATCCTTGGAAGACTTGCTCTGGACCTAGATGCAAGTTCTGTAGCGCTAAACCCGAAGCTCTCAACCCAGCACGTGATGCTCTGACCCGGCCTTGGGATGAGCTTCTCTGGCCATTGCAGCTTCCAAAGCCTTTCGCAGACGGCCGAGATAGGCAAACAGGGAGCCCTACATGAATCATGAAAGCCCTGCAGTGGGGCCGATTCTGAGGGTCTACGTCGCGTTGGGGGTCCATACTGCATCTTTGGAAGAGCAGACTTCCTAGGATCCCACTTAGGCTTAGATGAATAGCGTTGGCCGCCATCATCAGCATCACCATCACCATCACCATCACCACCACCACCACCACCACCACCACCACCACCACCACCACCACCATCATCATCATCATCATCATCATCGTCATGTGGAAGTACTATCAGCAGCATGATGCCCGTCAAACCATCACAGCGATGTCCCCAAGACGTCCAGAGCGGATCATCCACACAACTGCTCTCAAGCCGTCTTTCAAACCGCACAGAGTATCCATATACTTTCTGAGGTCCTCCATACAGTTCCTGACAAGACCTTGATATTTACTTGACCATTCAACCCCTGCACCCCGACACCCCAAACCCATCCCAAATCCAATGCCCTAACCTTCAATCCCCTCGAAACGCATAGTCGCTTAAGACTCTAAAGCCCCCAAAAGCTAACCCCTGAGCTCTACACTCTGTGAAGTCCAAATGCCTGACCACAAAAGCCCCCCCAAAGCCTTGACATCTGTGGGATCGCCGAGCTTGGTCTGGACCCCAAGGTTGGTATACAAGCCTGCAGCCAAAACTGGGGAAAAGGGTTGTAGATCGGGTTATAGCATGTTCAGGGCTCTAGCTGAGGCTTGCAGGTTTCGGGATTCTGCTGCTAAACCTGCCACAGTTTTTTGACCCGTGGGATTAATGGGGTCTTAGGCTTTAGGAGCTGGGCATGGGGAGGGTTTGGAATCATCGAGTTCAAGGTTCTAGGTTTATGGGAGTCAGGGTGTTGGAATTTAGGATTTAGGCGGTTGGGGCCTGGATGGGGTCCACAGAGTCCAGGTTTAAGGTTGGACAGGTGTGAAAGGAGTTGGAATGCTACCGCCACACGTTTTTGCAAGGAATGCGCGTCGACTGGGTTGACCGGCAATTTGAGCGCAGTGGAGGTTTAGCACTTAGAGCTCTGGCAGGGCTCTTGGGTTCAAAGCGTACAGGGCTTAGGGCTCATGACCAGAGCCGCTACGTTCTGAGCTCTACACTCCATATCCTCAACTCTAAACGCTAAACCTTGGCTTTTAGGGCTGAGTGGCTTGGTGTTTTGGGTTGGGGAATGTGCTTTATTTCCCCTGATGCCCCTATTAGCCAATCCCGCCGACAGGCCTTGCGCTTGTCTCATAAGGGTCATCTTCCTCATGTCAAGGTAATGCAGCATTGAGGGTGATGGATCGGGAGCTGCAAGCTTCGTTGCCAGGACCCGTTTGATGAGAGATCTATCGTCCTTTTCAGCTGATACATGAGTTTGCCTCAATGCACATCAATAGTCGTTCGGGTAGCTACTGGTCGGGAAAAGGTCTTTGGACAAGCCTGGCGCTTTCGAGTTGGCACCTTTGGAAACTCCTGAAACCCTGAACCGCTCCAAAACCCCAAAGCTCGTAAACTTCTTCATCGCTTGACCATGGAAATGCAGCCTCGAAGGGGCGTCCACACGAAACGTGCAAGGATGACCCATGACAGGTTTCCAGTATAGGAGTTGAGGGTTTAGGTCAGAGGCCTGGAAAAAGTCCTTGTCAGAAGTGCAGCGTCGAAAGGTATTCTCAACCCTCAGCACCCTTCGAAGCCCTCAGCATGAATCCATAAACCAAAATCAACAATCCAAAGCCTTCCGCCTGGAGCACCGCCCCAGCACTTGAGCTCAACCAAAAAATGCTTTTTCTCTCAACAGATGGGACATGAAGCAAATTGTGGGCTATACTTGGGCTGCCTTGAATGACAGATCAAACAGCTGTATAGGGACTCCGGTTCCGTGGTGACCATGCCATGGCACTCTTCCCACTCTTCCCATGAGAGCCCGAAGCGTGTGTTCTTCCCACGGCCACATCCCCTTAAAGCCTCGTTCTTCATCGTTTGGACCATGCATAGTCCCGAACTGACCCCATCAACCCCAAGAACCCAAGAAGCCAGGCTTCGTCTGGTTGTAAATGGGCAGCTTGGAACCCCAGTTCATCATCTCCCCGACCCAGGTCTTCTCGTAGAGAGGCTCGGACCTTGCGCAGGCTCGGGTTCCGACGTAAAGGAAGTTGCTCGGAATACGTCCGGTAACAGGAGATGGCGGGCTTCTGCGATTAACATTTCGCTCTGCAATGCCATTTCAGGGCTTCGGGTGACTTGGAGTTGAGGGCTTAGGGTTTCTCGACTTCATGTTTTGGCTTCATGTTGTTTATAATACTTGTGGCGCGCGTATGGCTTCGCTTGTACGGTTTGCGCGGTTTTCAGGGGCTGTGGGTGGGGGATCGAGCCTCAGGGGTTTCAGTTCAAGGCTTGGGTCTCGGGTTCAGTCTTCTACGTGCGGTTTAAAAGGCATCGACGATGTGAGACCCCATGATAATCTGAGAACACATAAAGGGGACAACGATACTCATCCGGGAAATTGTAAATGTGTGAATTGTGACGCTGAGACAAAATTTGGAGCTGCTCGAAACTAACACAAGAATGGGCAAACAGCAACTACTGACCCAAACCTTCAACCCAAAATTAAGCAACACTTAGGAGCTAAGGTTCTTGAGAAGCTCCTAGGGTGGGACCTAAGCTTTCCTTGAGGTTGTTGTGTTGAACAACTGCTGCAGGTTTTTAGGTTTAGGCTTCGAGCTGTGCGGTTTAGGGTCCTTTGGTCGCTATGACGCGGCAGACAGAAGGTTAAACAAGTTTCAGCAGGCCGCCACGAGTGTATGTCCAGAGCCTTATAAAACATCAGTCTGTGAAACTATAGTAGAAGAGAATCCATTTCCTCCGTGACAACTGCCACTACGGGAAGGAAAAACAAATAGAAATTTTCTGCAAAGGCCCAGCAACACGGAACATGCCAAGCTGCACGTGTGTTTGCAAAAGGCTTGCAAGGGCATTTTCAGATTGTGAAATTGTGGGAGGATTTCTGGAAGATGGGGAACCTTTGGTGGAGATCCTTGCCGAGCACCCTTTTAGGTCACTTATCTCCTAAAAGCAGCCGGAGTCGAAGAAGAAACTTGAAGACCAAAGCCATTTCGCCAGGCCCGGAACCCGTGAACCCCAAAGCAGCCATCCTTGAGGCTTCCACTTGAAACCGTCAGCAGCCCTGAACCTCTAAGCAAAGAAGCGTCTCATATCTAAACCCCACAGCTAGGCCTTAAGCCTCCAAACCAAGCATTCCTGAACCCCAAGACCTTCTATCCTTCAGTTGAGTCACCCATCCTCATGACAGTGGATGCACTCAACTGTGGCATCATAATCAGGGAGGATGAATGCCTAGCTCAGGGCTACCCAAAGATCTAACCACCTAAAAGGGGTCCAAATCTGACTAAAGTATACGACCTGCAGAGTATGAATGGCGTTGAGTTCGGAGCTCCTGTTCACAGACAAAGTACCTAAGAAAGTTGTACATGCTTTGGGCTCGAAAGGGATACTCTGGGACATGCTGATGTGCTATTTGGGTACTTGGACTCTCAGTCTTAGGAATGTGCATTTGCTGCCCTCAACATGCCCCATATCCGCTCACGCGATCTCATCCCTTCCCCGCATCATGCAACGCCCAGCCCCTTATTGACGGACATTGCCCTAATATGTAAGCATAACACTATATTGGAAACACATGTATAGGTTTTGACAGAGCGCAAGGCTTTGTATTGAGGGGAATCATTCCAAAGGAGGACCTGGAGACATCTGTAATATGCCTGCTGGGACCGACAATTTATTGACTGTAGCTCAAATGCATGTGGGGTTATTACGGGCATTATGCAGGTTATGAACATGAATCATGCGGAATGTATGGCTCAGCGATTCAGTAGAGGAAGAGGGTGCCTGAAGTCTTGCAGAGTTGGGCCTTAGGTTGCCAGGAAATCGTCTAGTCTAGTGAGCAAACGACATGCTTCCGCTCTGTCACCAACACCTGCAGTGATTTCCGCCAAGGCCGAGACTGAGACGCTTGCAGCCTACGAATACTTCAACAACACCCGTCGGGCAAATGGCCAGTCTGACAACTTGGGTTGGGATCAACCCTCGAAATAGCACATTGGCCTGCCTTGCTGCCTTAATACTTCAACACTCATGATCGTTTTCAAGCCTCAGGGCCAGACAACTATCCCAAGTCAAAGTCGTAACGAAAGGAACGTGCCATCACTCCCTAAATCCAGAAGGTAAGTTCCATGCTGAAGGTCTGGACCGTTTGGTAGTAGTATTATTAACAGGACATCTGAACGCACGGTGTCAGCTAGTTTCTGGTCCCCATAGCATCCCAATAACCCGTTACCTTGCCGCTGTATACTCCCAGTGGGCATTCGCATGAGTCTGTAATGCTAGCTTGCAAAAAGCATTAGCTGAGGAAGGAATTGACCCGCCCAAAAATTAGGCGCTGACTTTCACGTCGCACTCCCTGGAAACTGAATCCTGGCATCCAAGGCTCCATGAGGCTGATCCTGCCAACCTTGCAGGTTTCAGAGCTGTAGCTGTAAAATTTGACCGATGGGTCCAAAACTACTCAAATGAGGGGGGTGAGGGTTTGTCGCTCACGATTGCGGGTTTACAGCTTCAGTGTCAAGTGCGATCCTCCAAAGCCTTCAGTCTTACGTCCAATTGCCCGCATGCCTGTATGTACCGACTTCCTTCCCATATTCGGACACAGCCTCGAAATTGATCCACTTGCTGCAGGTCCAAGCGAAACCTGTAAATTAAACCCGAAAGCTCCTTTGCTCCCGCAAAGCCCCATGTGACCCTGCACGCCCTATACGGCCAATCATCCTCATAATGGAACCCGGGAGCTGAAAATAATTTCCACCGGTAATCCGTTTTACGTAACTACAACATAAACTACCCAAAGCCCTGTTCTTGTCATTGGAGTCCCTGCACTACTCCGCAATGTTTCCAAGCATGTCCCAGCGACCTGGTCTCGGCCGGGAACTGGGTTCGGCACGCGATGCACCACGTGTTTCATACCTTGTCTTGGGAATGAAGATCCTAAACCCTCGAAGGTGCTTATACTAGAGTAAAGGATTCCACCTTGAAGGTCTAGAGAGTCTAGAGTGGCCCTAAACCATATGCTCAGGCTATGTGGTCCAGGCTCCAGGCTTAAATCGTTCTTATCAGCATCCCACACGGCCCATTTGGGAACGTCTCATTCCAAGCTACGTCCATTCGACCAGCGGCTCATCATCCTGAGATGTGACGGGGGGGCTTGCTGAAGTAAAGTCTAGTGAAGGGCCAAAGATCCCAAGTTCTGCTAACCTAATTCAGATTACTTCTCAGACAAATCAAACCTACATGACCCGGGACCCTAAACTGTACTTGGGCGAGCTTCACCAAGTACTGGTTCTGAGGAAGGGATCCGCGCATGAGCACTAGACTCTGCAAAGGTCATGCCAGAACCGAAACATGACTATAAAGGATCAGCTATGCTGCTACTACTGTTACTATGACTATGACGACGACCAACACTAGTATTACTGCGACAAGTAACTTGCTCTTCCATTTCTTGCATGATGCCTTCTACTGCATCCAGCCCTGCAACCACGCAGCTCCCCAACATTGACCACGAAGCCGTTCTTTGGCCGCACCACCTGGCTCTTTTGGGGTTAAGTCGGCAGTTTAGGCATGCTTCCTAAGGCTTACGTGTTGCGGGTTAAAGGTTAAGTATGCTTTCCGTTGATGTTCCACGGTTTAGGCCAAGGTTTAGGCTTTCCGGTTGATGTTCCACGGTGGTTTGAGGTGAAAGGTACAAGAAGGGCCTAGGGGTCCCGATCCACCCAGCTACTTACCTAGCAATCAGGGTGCCGGAAATGAATACCTTTGCATCTATGTGAAGTACTCTTGGTCATTCGGGCCTGGGCTTCTTGCCGACTTGGCTGACCTGTTTCGGATACTGCTTGGGTTGCAAATGGAATTAATTCAGGGTACCCTGGCCCAGAATTCATGTCTGGAAGAAACGCCAATGCTTGGAAACATCCCGTGGGTTCTCCAGGCTAAGCCATCTAGCCTTCAGTTATTCTCTGGAGTCCCCCAAATCCCTGATGCACGGAGTCCCCCGCATAAAACGCAACCGCCGGCTAGCAACAACTGGATATCCCCATAGTATGTCCATGGGCTCGACCTGACGCCAAACAAGGGGACCCTCCCATCCCGAGACTGGTCTCCAAGCTCCAAACCCATACTCCTACCACAGGGTTTAATGAGGCCCCAAACAAATTGAGCCCTATTGATGAGTATTGGTGACTTGTAGGGAGTATCAGGGTAGTGTTACCACCATGATGCCCTTGTCACCAGCCCGCCTGTTGCCACTCCACGTCGCGGCCCTTGTAGGGCTTAGGGTCTAGGATGCGGGTTTTAAGGCTCAGCCACTGATTGAGGACCAAGGTTTTCAGGTGTAGGGTCAGACATCACCGACTCTGACGAAAATGTCATTCGGCTTCCCTAGATGTAGTGGGGTTTTCATAACGCTGGAGGCAATCCTACCCAAAGGATACAAATTTGATAGAATTCCTAGGTCTTGGACGTAAAGGTCATGAAGGACGTGCGACTCACGGCTGTAAGTTAAAGCGCAGCGCCAGCACTGCTTCAGAAAGAACTGGCAGCTCTGGACTTTGGAAAGCATGTGTCTGGAGTTGAAAACAAAACGCTTTCTAGCTAAGAACTTGACAGGCTTCTGTTTTCAAGGCTCAATTCCTTAATGCGGCTGTTGCTGCTGGGCTCTGATTTGTTAATTGGGGTCTGGAGCTCTCAATTTCTTAATTCGGGGTCTGGGGTTCTCAATTTCTTACTTTGGGCAGCCGACAGAAGGACCGCTCGGAAATGACCCCAGTGAGGTTCAAACCCATAACCGTTCCATTGAAAAGTTCGACGCCTTAACCGTTAAAGTGTGGCCTCCTCCAAGGATAGGGCGGGATCCAAATCCTGTTTAAGAACCTGCTAAGCAATTGAAAGGCCTTGATCTGGGGCACGCTGAACGAGCATGGGAATGAGGTAAATGCGAGCTAAGAAATTGAGAGGTCTCTGGATTGGGCAGGGGAATTTCTTAACCAGCGCCTGCACTGCATGTCGCTCAGCTCTTGTTCGTCGTTGTCTCTCTGTATTGGTCTGATTCCTACACCCCAAAATACTAGTCTGGAACGGAGCTTGTACTGTGGTATTTTAACACAAAACACTTCTAAAGCTCCAAACGATGTCTATTGAAAGACCATTGCCCTTCGCTCCGCTAGCCACCTCTCAAACTGTAACCTGTACTTGCTGCAAAATCATCTCCACATAATGCCCCAAAGGGCTCAGTAAATCCCTTCCCCAATCCGCACCAGAACCCAAAGCCCTCAAAGTAAACCCAGCCGCATACCCCAGCTAGGCATCGTACCAAACTTGTGTTATCTGGTTATAGAGTTTGAGGGTTTTGTTTACCTTACCCAGCTGAGAACTCAAATTCCCTGTCACCCCAACAGCCTCGACTTGTGCGCGCCCATCGACGCCCTCGCCCGTGGCAGAATCCACCAGGATCTGCGCTTTGGAGTAATTAGGTTGTATAATCACTTATACAGATCTAGGGCTGACGAGGTCGAGGACTTTGTTGGAGGACTTTGTTCAAGATCGATGGAATTGGGTTTCAGGACTTTGGCTTGGGCTACACGTTTAGGGTTCGGGCATCAGGCTTCAAGGATTCAAGCGTAGCATTTTAGGATTCAGGTTCGGGTTTGAAACTTAGGTGATGCTGAAAATCTGCGCCAAAAAGGTCAGGCGTGAACCGGGCTTACAGCCTGCGGAAACAGCCCACGCCTGGCGTATACCAGGCATATACTAAATCTCCTGAGCAAATGTGTATGTTTATATATATATATCTACATATACATGCACACATACGTATGCATATGCTTGCATTCCCAAAGTGTGTAGCATTTTGGAAAGACAAATCCAGCAACATCTGATCGAACGCTGCCCACATGCCTGCAACCCGCCCTCAGAATCTTCGTCTCCGACATCGCCTCAGACTTCAACAAGTTGGTCATGTGGCCATTTGTACAGCGCACAGAATTTCAAACACGCAGAACCCAAATATCCAATCAGTTTCACTATGTTCAAGGGTGTTGTCCCGACACAAGTTCCATCTCCCGGACAATCCTGCATGCATGTCTTTTTTTGAATAGACCAATCTAAGAAAATGTCCCCATCTCTATTCCTCACAAGCAAAGCCCTCTGTTAATTTTGCTAAAGCACTAGGCTGGAAGAGGTCACGACTCGAAGAAGATGTGTTGAGACTTTTGCGAGTGATGTCAGATTCCAGTATATGATTAAACATGTTTGCAGGGAAGCAAGGTGGGGAAATGAAGATCTATAAAAAGGGCACAAGCACCATTTTCTTGTGCTTTCCTATTGGCCACTGTTGATCGGCAGGGGCAGGCCCAACGCGTTGGCCCCAAGAATACAGTACCTGGACTGGGTATCGTCTCTAAACTTATGCTTAAACTTTGAGCACCATCGCAGGTATGCCATGGTATTCCCTGGCTCAGGATATTTGCTTCTACTGGGCTTTGCGTTGTGCTAGGTATGATCAAGCCGACTACACGGGCTACAGCACTAGCATTCTCGATCAACAGCATGATTGTAAGTTGCCCCGTTGATTGTGACAAGGGTGGCTTTCATGCATGAACGAGAACAGAGGGCTGGGCTGTAGTACATACGACGATGCCTCAGTATTCCAGATCCCCTGTACTGTTAGCTGAACACAATACTTGTAAGAACCAGAGTCGCGCAACTCGATAACAACCAACGAAAAAGCAAGTAATGGAAAGACAGCCACATGACTCTGTATACACGAGGTTCATGCCAAATCTGAGACTCCTCCGAGGGTCGAACTACTGCGGGCACGGCTTAAAACACCCCAGCGGGACAAGATGGCCGCTTGACAAGAGTTGTTACATTGAACCCCGGCTCAGGCCTCCACTCCCAACTCTAAGTTCTAAACGAATCCATGCCGAACAACAGCAGCCAGAAAAACAAAGCCTCCACCAACAAACAAGAACAACTAATAGCCGAGGTGCTGGTAGTGATCAAAGAGAACAAGGTGCGATCCTAGGTGTTCTACATGTTTGGAGGGGCTGCATGGCGCCCCTTTGATGTAAACCTAAACCCTAAACCCTGAACGCCACAACCTGTAAAACCGACTCTCAACTGCCCACTGTCTTTGAAGCGGACCGGGCCGGGCAGGGTTTTTCTGCCACCGTGCTAGGAAAGTTGCTTATTTTGTGAGCAAGAATTCTTGATCGCAGGGCTTTCCCAGAACCTTGTCCCTGACGCCAACACAGACTCAACAAATAGATCCATCAGCACTTTATGGTTCTGTTATCTGGCGACTGGTCGTAAGACCACATCCTATCCACGAAGCCTGCCAGATCCAAAGCGAGTCCTACACAATCTGTGATGTCACCGCTACAGACCTCCATGAGAGCTCCCCTGTCTGTCGTAAAAAGGATCTTGCTGGTGAGAGAGATAATGCGGAAAAGGCTGAGCACATCTCGGGGTAACAGAATATTCATAATATGTAGAGCTGTCTGCAAACAACACCTTGTGATAAATCGTGTAAGTTTTGACACGCGCGCATCAAGCCTGAACTGTAGTGGCCAGGTTCTGTGAAGGTCGCCGACCTAGCCCATACTTCACAAACTTGAGGCTTCGCACGATCATCACAAACTTATGGATTTTTTTTGATGTAAGGTCTGCTCTGGGCCCCCCAACAGAAGACCGCGCTTTCGACACCCGCTACGCAAGCGGATCCACAATTTCCAAATAAGCATATCGTAAGAGTGACATTTCTTAGTTAGAACAAGAATAGAGCAACAACAAAAATGAACAAAGGCGGGCTGAGTACACCCCAAGCCATGACTCCAAGTGCCAATTCACAACTCCCAAGCCCCGGCCCACACCCTTTAACCGCGAACCTTAAACCTCGTGAAGTAATGATCAAACAGGACTCCCAGTGTGGCTGAATCCTCGAGTGGTCGCCCTCCGGTTTGCTCTCTTGCGGGGGATAGTGGGCAATCGTCACCTGAGAAGATGGGGCTCTGGGGTTTAGGTTCTGGGGCTCAAGGTGCAGGGTTTTGCTGCGTGTCTTAGCCTCCATTTGACTCCGCAAGTCCCAAAAAATTCTCCTCTTCGAAATGACTGTGTATCAGACGTAGACAATGCAAATCAGGCACTCTCGCGAGAGCCGGTGCGAGGACCCAAACCTAGAGGAACCCAACCCATATGAAGTGATCCCTACCTTGTCATTCCCTTTGCCATCCGTGTAAAACGCCCCATGCTCTTGATACAAGCCCTTGAACCCTCATTCGCTAGCAACCCTGAAGCGCAGAACAATTAAGACACTTAATACTGAAAGCTCTTAACCCCCCAAACTCCCAAACCCAAGCCCCAAACCTTACAACTCAACTCTATGTACCTCTCTTGGAACTCTTATTTGCTACCCAGCCGCCGGCCAGATAGGAGCGCGGCTCGCGCGCTTAAGGAAGAAGTCTGGCGCCAGGTTTAGAGCCACTGCAAAGAGCCTCGGCATGCTGAAGGCGCACAAAGTGTTCATATCAATCAGAAATATGCAAATAAATGAATATATATATATGTATATATTTGCATAAGGGTGCATACATATGTGTGAAGATATACACATACATGGGTATGGCTGTAGGTGTCTATATATATATACATGGATACACATACGCATATGTATCATACTTGATGTGTATATACATACACATACGTAATCAAACTCTAGATTGCGGGGCACGCGCATCTGTACAGATGATATCCTAGATCGCGAAGACCCCAGCGTGGAGGGCTTGGGTTGCGGGATGGAGATTTGAGTTAAAAGGCTTGGGTTTTCAATGACTGGGTCCTGGGCAGACCTTTTTCGTGAGCCGCTCTGGACAAGGGGAGTGTGCTAGGGGTATGTTCATATATGCCTATCTATTTGTGTACATTGAGCTTCGGGGCGGTTGCAGGTTGGGTTAGAGTTTCAGGCTCTAGGGTTTAG